GGAGGTGAACGGAAATGTAGTCGTAATTCACGTGACATCGGGCAGGTAGAGCGTGAATCTTTATATTTTTACGATTCGATGAATTATCGCTAGGCAACACTCTACGTGAGGATGAAACAATGTTGAAATTTTTCAGGTGAATTTTATAGTGAAAATGTTTATGGAGAAGAAGTGGAAGAAATGTTTTGTCGAGGGCAGTGAAGAAACGCTTGAAGTATTACGAACATCAACATTAAGGATGTTCGACACCCTTTTAGCCAAAATTGACGTTGTTTTCATTTTTCTGGCAAATTATCGATGGGAGTGACGTGAAAAAATATAACGATTTTGTGGTTTGTCATTCTTTAATGGCTCACGAAGTTGCGTAGTGGTGCGATAATTTTCATGCGTTTTTTCTACAGTTTTGTGATTCTTTTTAAAAGTTTAGAGAAAACGCAGGAAAATGTTCGNACCAGAAAAATTAAAAAAACGTAAATTTTGGCAGAAAGTGTGTAGAACATCCTTAAATCTTATTATTTCCATTTATTTTATCATTTACAAATCTTCTGAAATATTGTGTATTAAAAAAAAACATTGAAGTATTGGTCATCACCGGACATGAGTCACCCTCAAACGCCAGTGAGATTATTCCCGCTGGAGACAAGACGGGATTACAGTCGAGGGCATTTGATGCAAGCAAAGATGTATAAAGGTATCTCTAATCCCTCCGAGAATTGACGTGAAGCCCATGGCTGAAGGGACCCTCCATCTCCGGATATCGGAGGTGGCCAGCGCAATATTTTCACGGTCCTCACCTCGAGAGTCACACATGTCGTGAAGAAAAAACAGTCACTCGTTTTTTATTCTCTTCTTTCCGACGGTATTTACTGTATTCGTCGATAATTATCACTCGTCGTTTTGTGGCGGTCTTCAAGTCTCTAGGTCTCTCTCCTCTCATCGTGGAAATGACTGTTGTTTCGCAAGGTGACGCTGAGGTGAACGGGGAGGGGTAGAAGAAGTCTTCATTCCGGTGATTTGATTTACGAGGAACTTCAACACGCGTGTAATTTGTGGTGGTGTATTTAATTTCGGTGGAGAATGATGATGAATAAATAAAGATGAATTATTGAAGCTGAGGATGGTCTGCACTGTCAAAAAATTTTGGCTGATATTTCCGGAACAGTTATTGGAATTTTTCATCGCATTGTGTTCAGTGAGGGAAATTATTAGTTCTATCGAAAAAAAAATTATACACGCACGGGATGAATGTCAAATTATTTTTTCGTTGTGGGAACATGGTTATTCTTAATATGAGAAATAGAATACAGGACCATATCTGACACACTTGGAAATTTACTATTTAATATAGCAATTGTGAGAACAATTGCGAAATTGTGCAATTAGCAATTGTGAGAACAAATGAAAAACTACGCCGTGCTGGATGAAAAAAAACGGCTGACGAAATTAAAATACGATGGAGTCTGTTGGAAAAATTACGGTTGAACACAGTAAAAATTGAGAGTCGGTATAGTAGAAAATGGTAGCATAAAAGTTGAATTTTCAATTGACAGGAGTAAAATTGAGGAGGATAAACATGAATTTTTACTTCGTCGGTTAAAAAAATATTCTCTTCCCCTTTCAAAATGAATATTCGCGGAAGAAGACGAGGGAGAGGGGGATTTTTTGAATAACCGAAGTGAAAAACCATATTTAATCTTCTTTATCATCCTTGAAAATTATTATCAATAATTTTGCTCTACGTATATTCATTCTGAAAAAGAGGAGAGTGAGAGGAAGGATTGAATTTTTTAGAATTATAGAATCCGCCACCGGGGCCATTGCGTGGTCGACGAAGGGAGGAGATTCCAAGAATTGAAAACAATCAACGCTCTCGTCGTCCGCTGGAGTTTTTACTAGTCAACATACTAATTTCTGCTATTTCCTCGAGTAAAAAGTAGGAGGCACGAAAGTATAAACAAAAGTTTTCAATCGTAAGAAAAAATTACAATTTAACATAGTAGAAATTCATACGAGTTGAGTAATTTCTCGTCGTTCAATAGTAAAAATCGGTAAAAAATAACGGGTTTTTCACACTTTTGAAAATTATTTTTTCGTCCGTGCATTTTATACCGTTTTGTCCGTTAAGAAATACTATTTTAACTCGTAAAAATGAATTTCACACCGCAAACATTCGGTTAAAATAAATCACATTTTCAAGTTTTGTCGGTAATTACTACGTTGAACAGATGTACCTGAAGGAAATTAATTCACTTGATAGAAAAAAAAATTAATATCCTTCCCAAAAACTAAATTTTTGTGGTGATCGTCAGAAATATTTCTGGAAGAATTCGAACTTTTGGCAGGAAAAAATATAACCTATTGTACTACAATCATTTGGTCTGAAAGACCTCCATAGGTTTATGAATGAGTGAAGAGTAAACTTACCGACGATTTCCCTGGAAAATAAAAAAAATTCCACGTCAAATTAATTATTTTCAATCCAACCATAAGAATATCGAATTACCATTAAATATTTTGCTCGAATGGCGATTGAGGAGTGCAAGCGGCAGCCCCTGGGCCAGAAGTCGATGCACGAAGAGGGGTTATATTTGCGGTGTTATCTGGCAGGCCCATCTTATCACGCCGTGCTCTCTACCCGAGGAATAAATCATAAAACCCGAGAGGAACGACGCGGGGTACCTTTAATTACCGGGCTCGAGGAAAAATATGAAGATGTAATACACGTTATACACTCTGCATTCATATGGGTTATACTTTCTTGCTAGTTTCTCTCTTCCTCACTGCCATGGGGGGTTAAAAGTATAGTACAGTCGAGGGATGCTATATACGAGAGCGTCGTAAATTACGCGCTCTGTTTCTCTCTGTGAACGGTAGTTGTTGCGTCGCCCGGAGAGCAGAAGAAGAAGCGTCATAATTTGCTGGTCATTTTTTCAGAATCGCTTCTTTTTTTACCTTCGTTGATTCAGCAATTTCACGCAATTTTATTCGTTGCGACCCGAAGCATCGATCATTCATTTCGATTGATTTTTTTGATTTCGTTTATTGCAATAATTTGTCGTTAATGAGGATTATTACACATCGTAAGAGTTTTTGCGGATGTCAATAAAATTGTGGGATTGAAGGGGTCGAATCGAGTCACCTCACGAGTGTCAGGGTTTTTGTGATTGTCTGAGTGCAAATATTGTTGGAGAGAAGAGAGACAATGAGACGTAAAAATTAAAAAATAAAATTGATTATTTTCCCCAATCGGATTTTGACCAGAGCGCAGTATTTGAGACTACCCGACAGTTTTATTTCGAATATTTCCTCCTAGCTTTTGAATATTTCGCAGTAGTTCTTCATTTTTTCGGCTTATTTCAGATAGAATCTTATATTTCTTATATTTGACAGTCTAGGGAAATCGCGTTATTCTATTAACATAATTTGGCCAAATCTTCCCCAATTCACCTCCTGATGGTGTCCACTGCACTCTGCTTGGCCAAAATCCGATTGGGAAAAATAATTCGACAAATAACCCTCGAGATTCAAAATTAATCGGGTATTTCCCTCAAGCTCCCCTACAAATCACCCTTATGGGAATGAGACATATGCAGCACTTATATCTAGCATATATTTGGCATACCACATTTTTGGATGAATATATATCTGAGTTTGAAAATTCAAGCTTTCCTTGAAAAATCAATGATCATTTACCACGAAAAACCTAATTTTCTTGAATTGTCAAGACGAATGAGAAATCTAGTAAACACTTTCATTTGAAATTGAATTCAGCCTCACATCGAAAATTCAGATGACGCTGTGACTGAAATGTCAAGAAATTTTTAACAGTGCATCGCTTAATTAAAAAAAAATTCCTACCAGTGTAGTGTCGCCTGCCCCAACCTGTAAGATATTCCGATACCCTGAAGCCCAAAAAAACTGTCTCCCTTCCCGATGCCATCAGAAGACGCATTCCTCACGCGAGATGACCCTAAACTCGACCCGCAGGTCCGTTCAGGAGCGCCACGACAGGTTCGGTACTTTCCCCATCCTCCCGTTGACTCCTACCTCCCCCGGCCCTGCACGCGGTCCCGCACTTGCCCCCACCCCTCTTCAACCGTCCCAACATCCCCCGGGGCCCTACCCCCACCACCGCCTACTCCCCACTCTCCCCTCGCGCCGCACGACTCCCCGCGCAGCCCGCACACATCCCCAGCGCCTCTCTCTCCTCCCCAGCGCTCGGCCTTCCTCACCATGTGACTGATACCCCTTCTCCGCAGGTTGACGAGCCATGGGCCTGCCTACCTGCCGCCCGCTGCCCCGCTCCCATTACAACGCGGACTCTCGCGGCAGGTGCACCAACCCAAGTGCCACTCCGTTCGCCCGCGTTACAGTGGCACAATTTCCCCGCACAACTACCGACAATTTCGCGTTTTCCGGAGGCGAAAAAAATATTAGTGGACAAGTGAGGAGTGAATTCGTCCCGTGAGAGCGTCTCGTGAATTGAAAAAAATATTACAAACTAGAAGTGAATTTTTGACACTCGAGTGACACCTTCCACTGTGCAGTTCCCCTAAATGAACATAAAACAAAAGTGCTAAACGCCCATCGCTGATGGCACGACACTCGTGCCTTATCACTCCGCACACCTAGCGATTAAAACAAAAACCGTACTCTCGGTCTCCGTGAAAAGCCGCGTACCGCAGTGCCACGGCGGTTATCGCACCGTAGTTATCTGTCTCTCGGAAACTCTAAACGTGAGTGTTGAGTTTTTTTTATTCAGGGAGTGTATACATGTGAGGGATCACGAGGTACAGCGAGAGAAGTTTGTGCCTGCTGCACACGTGCGTCCCCGATAAGAGGAATCCGACCTCAGCCGGGGGATCTTCGACCTTTGTGCAGGCGAGAGTTGAGAAAATTTTTTTATTGATTAAAAAAAAAACGGGGAGTGAGTGGGGCCGCCTGGACGAGGGCAAGTTGCGTGGTTTGTGGATTTTTTTTGTTGGGGAGATCGGGGGGAGGGTTGATTGAATTGTCATTTGTATCGCTGTCAACCTGGACATATTGACTGCTACTTGTGGACAACCGACGAAGTGGAGATGTCCGCGCGTCGCTGAGAGAATGAGGGAGCTGGACACCGAGAGTCCCGTCATCTGGCCGGCCTGGTGTTATACTGGTGAGTGTTGGGGGTTGGGGAGGGAAAGGTCGGGATAAATGAGGGGTCGGTGGGAAATTCGGGGGGTCTCGGCTTTGATATTTTTGAAAATTTTCAGTTGTAATACCCCAAGAGCTTCAAAATTATCGGGTATTTCTCGATAGCTTCGTTGCAAACAAATGAGGGTGTCAAGTTTGGCAGGTTAAAAAATCGGGAGCGCTTGCGGGGGGGATTTTTCTGCAAAACTTGGCACGATGGCTTGTTTGCAGGGGAGCTTGAGGGAAATACCAGATTAATTTTGAATCTCGAGGGGTATTTGTCGGATTATTTTTCCCAATCGGATTTTGGCCAAGCAGAGTGCAGTGGACAACTTCAGGAGGTGAATTGGGGAAGATTTGAAGAAATTATGTTAATAGAATAACCCGATTTCCATAGACTGTCAAAGATAAGATTCTATCTGAAATGAGACGAAAAAATGAAGAGCTACTGCGAAATATTCAGCTAAAAAAATGAAGAACTACTGCGAAATATTCAAAAGCTAGGAGGAAATATCCGAAATAAAACTGTCGGGTAGCCGCAAATACTGCGCTCTGATTGGTCGAAATCCGATTGGGAAAAGTAATCGTCTGAATTTTCGGGGAAAATGGCGGAAATTTTTAGCGGGTTCAAGTTACACGGACATTTCAGGAAATCTTGCCGTTGAAAAATGGAATATTTCAGTGATTTTCTGTTCAAATGATCTGGGAATCAATAAAATACTTGATTTTTCAGTTAAATTATTCTGTGAAAATTCAGAAAGATCAGGAAGATTCTGGGAAAAATTGAACATTCATGTCATTTTCTACTTAAAACTTGAAATTTCATCACTATTTTTTCCCTAAATCCGATGCAATATCACTCTCATAAGAATTACTATCATATTGTCCATGAAATCCCAAAAAATTTCTAACAGTGCATTGTTTGAAAATTTTTTTGCGAAAATTTCTATCACAGAGTTCCACTGAAATTCCAAAGGATTTCGTTATTGAAAACCCAGAATTTTTGGAAGAAGGTCGAGGAAAACTGGAAATTCTATTTCAATTAACTTGTGAAAGTGGATAGCAGTGAAGTTCAAGTAAATATATCAATTCAATTGATTGACTGAAAAATGAAAAACCCAATTCTCTTTCATTTTTAAGATGAATGAGAAATTTAGTGAACATTTTCATTTGAAATTGAATTTAAACGCACAACATCGAAAATTCAGATGACATTGTGGCCGAAATTTCAAGAAATTTCTAACAGTGGATAGAGATTAAAACTCGAGAACAACATCTGCCTGAATTTTCACTGTCATACGAAATTTAAAAAAAAACTTCCAATTGATGCATATTCTACAAAATTAACTAAAATTCAATAACTTTTCACCTGAAATTTCAACAAGAATTTTCTAAAAATCCATTCCTCATGGACAAACGCAAAGTCATGTTTTTCTTTTTCCGTGAACTCATTCAGTTGTGAGAAACAAAACGCCCGAAAATTCTGTAAAATTCCAAAAATGTTAAGCAGCATAAAGATGAGAATTCCTTAATTTATTTGAATTTCCAATGTAATATGGATATTCAGCGCCTAATTACATTGAATTCAATTCTGGGCATAAATTACAACCTGAGAAGAACATCTGTCCAAATGTTCCCTGTCACATAGACTTAAAAAAAACTATTCCAATTGACGCATATTCCCTAAAATTAACTAATATTCAATCATTTTTCACCTGAAATTTCAACAGGAATTTTCTAAAAATCCATTCCTCATGAACAACCGCAAAGTCATGTGTTTCTTCTTCCGTGAACTCATTCAGTTGTGAGAAACAAAACGCCCGAAAATTCTGTAAAATTCCAAAAATTTTAAGCAGCATAAAGATGAGAATTCCTTAATTTATTTGAATTTCCAATGTAATATGGATATTCAGCGCCTAATTACATTGAATTCAATTCTGGGCATAAATTACAACCTGAGAAGAACATCTGTCCAAATGTTCACTGTCACATAGACTTAAAAAAAACTATTCCAATTGACGCATATTCCCCAAAATTAACTAAAATTCAATAACTTTTCACCTGAAATTCCAAGAGTAATAATTTTCTAAAAATTCATTCCTCACAACCGCAAAGTCATGCATTTCTATTTCCGTGAAATCGTTCAGTTTTGAGAGACAAAACGGCAAAAACTCAGCAGAATACGATGAAAAAGGGAAATATGAGGATTACCGCAATTTAGCGCCTCCAGCTGGCATTCCGTGGCATGGGGACAGGGATCCGTCACGATTCTGGAACGAATCATCCTCGCTGGTGTAATGGCATCCATGCTGGGGCCTCGCTGGGCGATGACGGTGCCACCGTTGTTTTCCGGACGTGTGGCTAATTGCAAATGTTGGCATTCTTTTGACGCTACTGTTTCGTTGTGTTGAGTGAGGTGCATGCGTTGCGATAGTCGTGTGTGGCCGGTTCCTCGGGCAATTGAGTAGACAAATTATGCACTTTTGGGGGATGAAATCAAATTACTTCAACAATACGACAAATTCATTCATGAGGACTAATTATTATTATTATTTTTCATTATCATTATTTTTAATAATAACAATTAATATAATAATTATAATGATTATAATTATAATTATTATGATTTTTGATAATAATTGTTATTATTAAAAATAACAATAACAATTATTGTTAAACAAGAATTATTCATCAGAAATATCTTCAATTGTTATTGTTATTTTTAATAATAATAATTATCTTTTTTTTTAAAGAATAAAATCTTGAATAAAAATGATCGAATAAGAATCGTTTATTCAATAATTCCATGGCGTTTAATCGTTGATATCTCCTGATCCACTGATCCGATTTCGATAAGTCACACCTCATTTTGAAACTTGAAAAAAAATACCTTGAAGATGAATAAAAATGAGAAATTTCACTCTGCCATTTTGCCGATAAATATTGACACCACTGGAGTAGATTTACTTGAGGGAAATGAACCAATTTGATAGAAGAAAATTTAATATCTTTCACAAAAATTAAATTTTTGTCGTGACCATAAAAAATATCCCTAGAAGAATTCGAACAGTTGGCAAGAAAAAATATACTCTATTGTACGACAATCATTTGATCTGAGAGAACTCCATAGGTTTATGCCATAGAAAGAATACATTGACGAGGAAAGAATATTTTTTACCCAAAAAAAAATTGTTCCCTCGAAATTATTTAGTTTTGCCAATAACACAGTTGTCGGCAAGAAAATTGTAGTTTCCTCTTGAAATTATTATTTGTTCCATGGAAATTATAAGTGTTTATTGGACAAAGATATGCACTACTCAATAACATTCACTCGATAAAACCGGAGCCTCATATAAATAATTCTTTGTAGAACGAATGTATTTACCCGAAAGACATATAAATGTCTCACGAGAGCAATTCCTACTCCGAAAATTATCATGTTTTGGTGGAAACATTCTTTTTGTCCACAACTAAATAGATTATTCAACCCGACAAAAGATCTCTTCAGAACATATAATTTTTCGGCAGAACTAATTTTCTCACTCAGTTGCAGTGCACGCGTCGGCAAGCCACGACTTAACATGGGCTTACGGTTATGACAGCCGAACAAACGGAGTGTTTTCATCGCGCTTCAATTGTACCGAGAATTCCTACGAGTCATGTCCTTTAATTGACAGACTCCCGAAGCGAGAAATTGTATTGCGCGTTATCTCCGGACTCCGTATAAAACACAGCAGCACAGCGCCCCTCTCTCGCATCTCTTCTTCATTCGCAACAATTTCGACTTTTTCCGAGGCGAATCGACCGCGAGTGAATATCCGCAGGTGTTGAACGGGTTAAATTGGCACTGGGGACGGGGATGGGGAAGGGGGGGGGACTGTATAAAAAAGAAATCGTCGTTAAACTTTGGGTTACCGTTTTCCTGCAGGACTGCCGGGGGAAGGCACTCTGATCACAATTAAGATAGAAGCTTCCGTGCGAGAAGCGGTGAACGTGGTGATAAGCCCACCACAAAACTACAGGGCCCACCACCCAAGGGTCCACCTTGAGGAATGTCTTGATGCGGCTCTCTCGTGACCGATCATTAACTTGAATATTTTGGAGTCACTTCTACCGAGAATTGGACGAACTATTTTGTGTTATTTTTTCCCTTGAGGTGGGTGAATTTCGGATGATCGAGACCTCATTAGTTATGATTTTTTCGGATAATGAGGTTTTTCGGGAATTTTGAGGGGATTGGGGTGATTAATCACATGTGGAGAGGAAAAACAACGTAATATAGCAATAATAAGTTTTTGAATTAAGAAAATAGCGAGAGTCGCTGGTCTTTCGTCTCGTCTCATCTCGAATGTACGAGAGAAATATTCCCTCTCGTCTCGAATTTCTCTCGTCGAATGAGATATTCCCTCATCTCGTCTCATCTCACCTCATTTCCACTCATGTCCCTGAATTTTCGTGTTCTGTAAGGTCAGTTGTAATAAGTCAATGGAGCTTTTTTCACCGTGACCTCAAGTATGGCCATGTTGAGCCAAGACTGAAGCGTGTTTCCACTGAGACTTGGGAGAGACTTGACAATAACTTGGCGAACCTTTTACTATTAATGGAAGTAGCTCCATTGGGGGAAGCAATGCAACTAATGTCGGCTCATTTGCCCTCGTGAAGTGAGAGAGACTTTGATAGAAATAATTTAATGTAGATTTTTCCCAAACGCGGTGAAGTAAATAAGATGACTTTCATCGCAGAGGATAATGTTCAAATGAATCTGATGTTAGGAAAGAATAGTTGATTAATTGAGCACAGATTGTTGATCAACTTCAAGTATCTACCTATTTTATGTTTTTTTCCCTTGAGGTGGGTGAATTTCGGATGATCGAGACCTCATTAGTTATGATTTTTTCGGATAATGAGGTTTTTCGGGAATTTTGAGGGGATTGGGGTGATTAATCACATGTGGAGAGGAAACACAACGTAATATAGCAATAA